TTTTCGGTATACAAGCCTTTTTCCTTCTTAGATACGTTTATTCTTAATTATTCTTTTGGATGACGTTATAAATGGAATAGTTTTCTTCATTTCCTTTTCAAGTTGTTCATTTTTAGTGTGTAGAGACACAACTAATTTTTGCGTGTTGATTTTGTACCCTACAACTTCGCTGCATTCAATCATTAGTTTAATGGGCATTTTTATGGGCTCTTTAGAGTTTTCCACATACAAGATCATGTCATCTACAAACAGATAATTTTACTTCTTCCTTTCCAATTTGGATGCCTTTGATTTCTTTTTCTTGCTTGATTCTTCTGGCAGAACTCCCAGTACTATATTGTATAGAACTGGTGAGAGTGGGCATTCTGGCCTTGTTCCTGATCTTCGAGAGAAAGCTTTTTTTCTGTTTTGCGCCAGGGAGTATGATGTTAGCTGTGGGTTTTACATATATGGCCTTTGTTATGTTATAATTTCCTTCTGGTTCTATTTTGTTGAATATTTTCATCGTGAGAGGGTGTTAAATTTTGTCAAATGTTTTTTCTACATTGAGATGATCGTGTGGTTTTTGTCCTTCATTCTGTTAATGTGGTATATTATGATACTTCTTTAATGTGAGGGAAAACATCTACTTTAAACTGAGATACACAAGACATAATACATAAAATCTTGGGACTCTGAATGTATTTTCTGATGATTGCATAAGAAATCAACAATGATTTGCTTTGCCTTTTTTATGATATACAATTCTCACTTGAGTAAATTCACAACCATAGACTTATTAAAGAAAGAAACAAATAACAATGAAAATGAAAGCATACATAGGTATAAAAGTCACAAATCAGTATTTTTCATTAGATATTTTGTTCACTTATCCAAAATTAGAAATGTTATTTTTAGGGTGGTAGTAATATTTGAACATTAGACATATTTTATTTATACTATTACTTTTAACCATTTGAAATTGTCATTTTTGTACTGAAAAAATAGTAGAATATTGGCAATTTCATATTGTATACCACACATATAGACATACATTAAAGTATTTGGCAAAATTTCTAAGAGTGTGATTCCATTTTAACAGTATTAAAGTACTTTGTTTTTAACAAACGATACTTTTACTCATATTTGTCTTCTTAGTGATTACTTTCTAAAACATATATTTAAATTTGAATGAAAGGGTCATGCTAAACTGAGTAGTAATAATTCCTGTTTCTTTTTTTTTTAAACTGCGTCTAGGCTTCAACCACTCTTTTATAATGGTGAATTATTTCCTGTTAGTCATCCTTAGTCTAAGCATACTTTGTCCATCATTTTGTTATAGTCACACGAATTGCCTTCTGTATATCAAAGGATGATGATGATAGTAGTCATTTGTAATAATAATAGCTAACATTCATTGAGGGTTTATTGTATATGTCAGGCACTGTTCTAAGATGTTTATTAATTTGTTTAATCCTCATAATAATTCTGCAGTGTGTAGTTACTGTTACCATGTCCATTTTACAGGTAAGTAAGCAAGGCACAGAATAGTTAAACACCTTCCAGGGTCACACCAGGTCTTAAGTGGCAGAGCAGAGTAATGACCGATTACGTGAACATGAGACATAATTTGATTTGTCTATATAATATTTCCCCTTAGTTTCTTAATAATTCCATTGTTT